CCACAATTTATTCCACACTACTGAAGCTGCTCCTCTTTTTGGAACCACTGCAGTTCTTGCTTGTTGTTGCCGTGGGTAACAGTATGACGCCACGTGACACATGTCAAATTATCGCGAAAATCAAGATGAATTTTTCATATGATATTAAAAAAATATATACTGGTATTATCGTGAACAAGATGATATGGCACAGCCCTGATTTTAAGTACGGTGAATTTCTGGTGCTGAGCTTTTATTTTAAAGTGCTGTTTCCTGCTGTGGAGTGAGTAGCCCTTTTTAGATAGGAGTTGTGCAAATTTGCAGGAAAGCCCAATCAGTCTTTTTTCAGCATTGGCAGTATAAAAACAAAATTGGGGAGTGCAGCAAAATGCCGCCTGCCTACTTTTGTTTATACAGAATGAGCCTTTTTCAGGGCAATGGGGGACGTGAGCAAGTAACAAAACGTGTAGCTCAGCTTGACGTAAACAGTGACGTGGGAGGGAAGCCACAGCTAGTAAGTCCTTCGGGAGCTCTGTGCTTTCTCTCTTAAGTCGGCCTGTTCTTCACCGTCCCTGTCATCTGACGGTTAATGGCCTCTTTGTTTGCGAGTACAAGGAGGGCGCGCAATTCCTTGTGTCCCCAGTTGCTCATCGTTACAGTGTCTGTCAGGTTTGCGTTTCCCTCTTGCTACTAGCTGCTCGCTAATTCCTGCTATCAGCTGTTTCCTGTTTATCCACCACCAGTGGCTCGCACGTGTGGCATCATCAACGGAAGGCCGCCTTGGTCTGTTTAAACTAAAAGGGTTCCGCCAATATGTCTACCCTACAAGGTGGAAAATTGGGCACCTCTGATCAACTCGCCAAGCTGGCTCTGTGTGTCTAAACGCTCGCAGCTTGCTGGCAAAACGGCCCAACATTCGCGGAAAATCTGGCAGTGTAAAAGGGGCAAGTGTCTAACAGACAGCTACTTGATAGAGACAGCAAACTAGCTCAACAACATGGCTGAACGGAAGTATGACGTTGAATTTATTTAACTGTGTGGACCTTGAGCTAATGACTAAGTAAAAATCTGGAACCCGTGGCTGGACCAGTTGGGCACCACTGACTAAATATAAACTTGTCTTACAGCACTTAAAAATGAGAACAATAAAACACATTTTTTCCTTTTTGCATTATGTTGTTTTTTTAAACTATGAATAATTTCTACATGAAGGGGAAAAAGCAAGCAGCCCAAACACAGCTGTGGTGATCTAATGAGCCATTCCTGGAGCCAGGGGGTGTAATTAAATTTTTTTGGGAGGTGCAGCCACCTCTGGCAGAGTTACTGCACCCACACATGAAGCCACCGCAACACACAACACACAGAGTCACTGATCTGCCGTGTCTCATCTCTCACCTTCAAAACTGTTTATGTGACATGTTCACCAGCAGTAATGACAGCAGGAGTCAGAGGAATAATAACATGTCCTTCTCTCTGTACACTTGTACCTGGTCATGAACACACTCTCGTGCCCACGCACACACTTTAACTCTCACTCTAACACACACACAGTGAGCCGAAGTCAGATCCAGTTCCTTCCAGAGGCCCAGGACGACCCACAGAGGAGAAGACCTGACATCCGGAAAGCAAAGATGATGCTCGGCTGGGAGCCGGTGGTATGTGTGACACATGACACACGCACACTTTAAAGAGCGAGGTAGTAGTGTGCTCGAGGACTGTCTTTGTCATATGAGACTCCAGAAAACACTTGAGTGCTCTTGAAGAGAAGGGTCAGCACACAGGAAGAAAAATCCACTTCAGGAACGCAGGGAGAGACAGGATGGGCCCACCAGTCTATGTGGATTTAGTATTGATTTCTCCTCCATTATTGTTGTTGCGATGTGACAGTTGGTCTTTGTGGTAGACTCTTTGTCCTGCCCTTCCTCCCCTGTGATTGGACAGCTGGGTAGAAAGTGACAGCGTCAAGTGGCTGCAGTGTTTTACCTAAACGTGAATATTTTTTTAAATAGGGTTAGAATTAGCACCTCACACTGCTGCTACTTGTAGCAGAGTGTAAATACACAGTTATTACAACATTCTATCCATATTTTTTTTATCTAACTCATATTTAACCAGGTAAGTCCCATCGAGGTCAATGATCTCTTTTATAAGGGAGACCATATCAGTGTGTGACTGTAAATCCCCCTTAGGTGCTCAAAGTCACACTGTAAAACATTCAACTCAGTGGAATTACTCTATCAGATGATTTTTTGACTCTATATCCAAAAATTATGGCAGTGTTTTTGATAAAGATCCATTTGTTTTGTTTTGTTTCGTTTTCACAAAGATTTGTTTGTTTTTTATTAACAGATACTTTTCCTTTAATATATATACACTAGTCCATACCCACTGAGTGCACAGTTGCCCACGTACAGTTTCACATGGTGTGTGTTTGGGATACAGGTCATAGGAAATTGCAGATTAAATAGTCAACTGAACCCATTAAGAAGAGCATTGTATTCAGACAGGGTTTTTGTGAATTTGATAGTACGATTGCTTTATTGAAAGTACAGTAGTACCATTGCCAATAGTGGGATAGTTAGTGGGCTAAAACTGTACATTAGTAGTTGAGGTAGCACGTTGACAGGCAGATAGTTAAAGTGTTTATATGTTGTACTGACTTAAAAGTGGGGCGCACTGGTAGAATGAATGACTGACAAATGAGTTTCCGTGATTATGTATAGCATACCATACCATGACTTAGTCATACCAAAAACTAGAAAAAAAACAACATTGGGCCACAGGGGGAGCCACAGCGATCGGTTAGCCGATTGATTTTAGCCATTTTTAAGCATTTTTCTGTTGTTATAGCGCCACCCAGTTGCCAATTAGAGTTAAATTTCTCCAGTCACCTTGAGGTGTCCTGTTCTACATATCTACCAAGTTTAGTAAAAATCGATATGGCGGTTAGGCCTAGATAAGAAATTAGTTCTCTAGCTCCCCCATTTTGTTTGATTGGGTCAATAATGGAGGGGTCCCCTCAGATTATGTGTGGTCATATGCCTACAAAGTTGTGTGGTGATGGGTGAAACCCTTGAGATGTTATACACCTTTATGTGATGAGCCACGCCCTCCGCAATATTCATTGCCTTATAGAAGCTCAGTTTTAGTAAGTTTTCCAACTTTTGCCAAGAGGGAACTTTAGATATTGGTCCCTAGATTATGTTCACTGAGTTTCATGCAGATCGGTCAAACTTCCTAGGAAGAGATCGATTTGAAGTGTTTTTCAAAAAATTCAAAATGGCAGAAAATCTGTATAACTGGAAGTGATGGGTTCTTGATGCAAATGTGTTCCTCATGGGGAGAGGCATCTCTGTGCAAAGTTTCATGTCTCTACGACATACGGGGCATGAGATATGCCCATTCAAAGTTTGCATAGCGCCCCCCTTTGGCCAATTGATGTAATATTGGCAATCCCATTGTCATTGTCATTATATAGTAAGATAGAGGGACATTTGGACGTACAAACGTGTTAACAAACTCACAAATGGATCAGAAATCATCAAAGCTGAGAAAGAAAAACAAGAAGCTGTTCAGCATCAATTCACTCAAGGAAATATTGCCTTCGTGACTCCAGCTATTTACTTAGACACAAGAATTATTAACCAACTGTAGGTCTCTCAATATGAGAATTTTACAGTATGATCACATGGAGAGACATAAATAACATTGAATTAATGCTAAAATCATTTTTTGTACATATTTAATGTTTTGAAATTTAATTTTTATGCAGAAGACGATACGTAATCACTATTTTTATTTTTAAGTCCACCAGCTGTCAATAAAATTCTACACTGACATGTGTATTGATTATTTCATTTATTTATTTTAAGATGCTGTCAGGCGCGTTAGAACAGACTTAGTGCATTAGTTATATTGCAGGGGAAACTCTGACATACAGGAAGTCTTAAGACAGCAAGTTCACAAGTTAATAAGCATGTTATTAGCTGAGTAAATGAGTTGTTCAGCTGTGTTTGGAGAGCAGCCTCCATCAATCATTAAGGCTACATGACTGCCTTATATATGTACAGCCAGTATCTGACAGTGGTTGTATTTTTATGTTGTATGTGTTGTGTCTCGTGTGGACAGGTGCCTCTGGAGGAAGGCTTGAACAAAACCATCCAGTACTTCAGCAGGGAGCTGGAGCACCAGGCCAACAACCAGTACATCCCCAAACCTAAAGCCGCCCGCATGAAGAAAGGAAGACCCAGACACAACTGAGGTTTCCCACCACACACACAGGATATTAAGACTCCTCAGAGGACCCTTGAAGAGCAACTCTCTGAAATACACTGTCAAGTAGAGCGCTCTGGGATATGGCGTCTTTTTTTAATTTTTATTTTTATTTTTTTGGAGAAGCAGAGACGACTTTTAAGAGTGTTGTGTTGCCTTGCGTTGGAGCTGCAGCTGCACTGTGGGGTAAGGGCTTTCCACACCAGAGCATACGTGTTGGATGGACAAACTTGAATCAACAACAGAAATTTGAGGCGAGAAATCTAAAACCCAGCCTACCTTTTTGTTTTTGTTTTTGTTTTTTTTGGTGAATTTATGCTTTTGCTATTTAAATCGCAGACATGAGAATCTTGCAAACGGCTCGTACCATGCATCAGTGCTTCGTGTTTATTTTATCAGTTTCATGGTGTTTTGTTTCCAGAGATGAGCGGCCTGATAATGTTTTTTCCACTGGATGTTTTGTCCTCTTATCAGCGGCGTGTCAGTCAGCACCCTATTGGCTGTTGATGCAGCACGCCGCAGGACTGGGCGAATCTTCTAGAGAGACTGTTACAGCATCATCATGTGTTCTGCTTTGTGAAATCTCATGTCCGGATGTGCGTTATCAATTTCAGATGAAGATGCTATTTTAATAAAATTTGTCCAGTATGTTGCGTATGACATAATTAGGGAAGGTGATATTTGTGTGTGTGCATGTGATGCGTGTGTGTGTTGTTTAGTGAAAGTAAAAAAGCAGGGGACTCAGGCAGTAAGAGCCACATCTTTATTTACAATGATCTTGTGATGAGAAAAGAGCCAGACATCAGATTTTAACAGTATTTCATACAAATCAGCTGCCTCAAAACGTTGCTTACAAAATTTGTAAATAGCACGCATAATTGTGTTTGTGCTGTCACTGAACATCACCTCTGCTCTGTAACTAATACGTGAGGACGGTGACAAAGATTGGGTTATACTAGTTGGTCTAACCAATTAAAACAAAGAAGCCAGAGCAGCTGTGCAGGGTTCCCACGCTCATGTCATTCCTGGACAAGTTATGAAATTAGAAAAACTGATTTCCAGACCTGAGGAGCTAACAGAAGGTTTTGGAAAAGTTTTGAACATATATTGTTTTGGCAATTGCTTAAAAATGTTCATAATAATCCCAAAATGCAAAAAACATTCCTTCTATTACTAATTTAAAACCTAGTGCTGGGCTGTGTCACAGTTGAAACACCACCAGTATCACATGATACATCGTGTCATTGCCAAGCCCCGTCTTTTCAGGGGTAAAGAAGCACATTGTCACATGAGGAGAGAAAGAGGAAAATGCAGAAAAGCTCTGATGAAGGCTCATGATATGCAGAAACATGTCAGCGTAGTTTAATTGCGATGTGAGCCAATTAATCCTTTGAAACCTGGAGCGACATCACGTTTCTTGTGCTGCTTTCAGACTACTTTCACAAGTATTTAAACCTTTGAACCCTGAGCTAAGTGGTGCAATTTCTTTCCAAAAAAAAAAAAAAAAGATTTAGAAAGTAGAGATATTAATAGAGAAAAAAAGAAAAAAATCAAGGGAAAACTATATTTATATTTATTTCTATATTTAAAAATTATGTAACTTCTCTTTCCAGGTCATCTCCTTGTTCGTTTCTTTCTAACTTTATTTATTTTTACAACTTTTTTCTTGTTTTTAATTTTGTCTTTTCACTAATTTTCATGCTAATTTTTTGGGTCATTTCTTCCTGTGTATTTTTTATTTTATTTTATTTTTATTTTTTTCAATTATTTTTGTTGGCTTTTTTGCCTTTAATGACAGGACAGAAGGTGAAATGGGGAGACAGAGAGAGAGTGTGGGGACTGACATGCAGCAAAGGGCCGTGAGCCAGATTCGAACCCGCGGCCGCTGCAGTGAGGCAATGCCTCTGTACATGGGGCGCCGGCACTATCCACTACGCTACTGACGCCCTGCTTCCCGTGTATTCAAAAGAAATCAAGCCAGCTCTCTCAGGTTTCAAAGGGTTAAACAAATGAAATGTGACTATTTTGTCCTCCTTCACATGGGAATTTGGGATGTATTACCTCCGCTTACTGAGAGCGCCACTGTTGAAGTGCTGCCTCCTTTTTTTTTTCAAACAGTCGCGAAACACTTAGACTCGTCCGTAAAATATTCATTTAACAAGAAATAAATGCTTACAAACTGTCACATGTCAAATTGCACTGACATCTGGGATTTTTAGTTTCTCTCCTCCAAAAAAGGGGCGTGGCCTTGATGTTTTTTGCGAATTACCTATTTTGGGCATATGTTGGTAGTTGGTGGCTGGAATGTCTAATGAGCATGTAAAGATAGCTAGCAGTTTGCAAATGCCTGGGAAAAGCGTATTTAATAACTTGTGGCTGTATCTCTAACTACTTACATAAAGTCATGGATATTGGGAAAAATATTATGGATAAGTTATTAAAATTAATTGGTAACAATATGTGGGAACCCTGACTGAGGAGTACTTGGATACTGGCAACTGCACGTCAGGTGTAAAACCAACAGACTGTCACAGTTAATAGTAATCATAGTTGACATTAGCTCCGTGTCTGTAAGCACTGGGGTCACGTGGGCCGATGGGGGCATTCTCATCATAGTGGTGTTGACGCCCTTGGTCACTGGCGCGAGCCTGGTCCATCCAGTATGACAGGTCAGTCTCCAGCCTCTGGTGAGGAAAACACACGGCGCAGACATGACTCGCTTGGAAACTCAACAAATCTCAAGCTAATAGACACAGAGGCAGCTGATAAGACGTCCGCTGAGTCTGTCAGCCGGCACAGCTGCGGCAAATAGACATGCATGAAAGGTAAACATTGAAAAGGCCAATGCTTTCACAGCTTTGGCCTTTTAAGAAAGCAACAGCAAATGGCACACACACACACATACGAGGTGTCGTGACTGGAGCTGCGTGAGAGTCACTGCTATACTCGCTGAAACGAAAATGCTGTCAGCTGCCAGAGACGCTGGCAGTGAGGGGTAATTCTGTGCACTCTGCTCCCTCCAGTCCTCGCTGTCCCTGGTGAATTAAGACTGAAACTGGCTCTGCAAATGGGATTATACTTGTGTGGGAGAGAGTGAATTCATGTATGCAATGTATTTAGTTTCACGTTTGTATTTATTCACTCAGTCAGACAGCAGCATTGTGAGGATAACTGTGCCTTATGTAAAGATTATCTTTCAGACATCAGACTACAGTTTACACCAGCTTTGTCACTCCACAGATCTGACATATATAAAGGTCCAGATTACACACATTTTTAATGTCCGCTTGTCTGTTTTTGGGTTTTAATTTCATTTCTTTTGCATGGTTTATTCTTTTAGCCCTGTTTACACCCCACCCAAAACTTAAACTCTAGAAAACAAATGTGCCTCTTTGTTTGCGTTGGTGTGGTTTGATCATATTTGATTGACAACAACACAGACAGCCCCACTAGTGTCAACAAATCTAGATTCAAATATGGCTAAATCCCAGCTGGTGCACTTAAAAATGTGACAGAAGATTTTTCCAACTGAGCCTCGCTCTGAACAAGTGAGAGGAGCACATTGTCTGAGCCCCATTTTATTTATTTATTTGTTTATTTAACCAGAAAAACCTCTTGAGATTAAAAACAGGCAGCAACGTAAGTTACAGACAGACAACAGAACAAAAATACAGAATAAAAATATACAGCTCTAAAACAAGCAATATAAAACACAAAATAAAATTACTACAAAGAAAAGCCAAAAAGTATGTTAATGTATACCAGAAATGCACCATAAAAACACAAAAACGGCAACTACACATGATTACAAAGACCAGCTGAGACACACCCTGACATTGGCATATAGAAGATTGTGTACAAAAATCCTGCAACAGTGCTTCTAAACAGCCGAGAGCCAAACCAAAAGTGCAACTTCAAGTCCTTCTGCAGAAGATTCCACATATAAGGAGACACTTCATTGCCCCATTGCAACCCTGTGTGCAACGCAATGGACATAAAGCTTGCATAGCGTCAGTTAACTATGCTAAATAACACTATCGCAGATTTTTAAAAAAAAAAAAAAAAAAAAGATTGTTTGAAAAAAGCTGGGGCCATCTCAGTTTTGATTTGTAGCACGTTACGCCTGTCCCCAGTGACAAGTGTCAGACATCACTCTAACTTCATGTCACCAGCTTCTTGTAGCCTGTTGCTGTGTCGCTCATAGTGTGAACACAGCATGAGTCTACAAATATAACACACCAGAGGGACTATAGTTTATACTGAAAGAAGATTAAAAGAAATAGAAAGTGAAATATTTTGTCTGTACGTTCATTAATAGGACATGTATTGCTTGATAGATACAGATAGTTCTGAAAAATTTAGCTTTTTGCTTAAGAATTAGATTCGTGATTATCAAATTTCGTCACAATAATAAGCAAATTAATCAGATAAAACTGAACATAGATTCCTGTGAAAGTTATATAAAGTGATGGAAGATATGATCAGCAATAAATTATTGTTGCTTTGGCCCTTATTAATTTTTAAACTGTCATGCAATGTTGCACTTTTATCACCAAATAACTCCAGAGACAAAAATATTATAAACTGGATATATGGTCCAACAAAAGAAACAAGGTGCATTATGGGAAGTGTAGGATCCAGGGTATTTAGAGCTTGGCAACAAGTCTGAAACTTGGCCTCTGCTGCTTCCATTTAGATTTCTTAGTTTTTATATCTGTCTTGTGTCAGAAAACAGCTGACTGTTACAAACATATTGGTAGCACGTATTCTTGGTTCATGATATGGAAACAGGCGAAAGACATTTTGTGTTTCTGCTCTGTGTGTTCTTTTGTTCCTCAAAACCCAATGTAAAGAGTAATTTCTCACAATGTGATAAATCTGTGTCACATTTGTGCCACGTTTGCTTTGCAGAATCCCTAAGATGTTGACAGCTCCACTGGAGATTGATTTCTGTTTTTATGGTGTGTGTGTGTGTGTGTGTGTGTGTGTGTGTGTGTGCATACGTGTGTGTGTAAGACTTTAGGAGTGCATAGAAAACCTGAGCGCTCCTTGAACAAACACAAACCCACCTGCTCATCGAATCCCATGTACATAAACTGCATGATCCACTGCTGCACGTCCGGTCTGCTGCGATCCCAGAGGTTCCTCTTGGTTCTGCTCAGTTTTGCCAGGAACTCTTGAGCCTTGGAAGACGGGATGGCAACAGAGGACTTTGAGGGGGCAGTACCAGCTCCTGCCACTGGATGGGAGCACAATCGGGCAAAAGGATGAGAAGGCATTTACCAAAGCTGCTCTCAGGTATAATCACACTGTTTAAGTGAAGTGTTACCATCTCTTTTCCTCAAGATCTTGTGCAAGCTGCTTTCACTGGATGCATCTGTTAAGGAGAGTGGACAGAGAGCTGCAGTGTGAGTGTCAGGTAAGTTAGACCAATACAACTGAATTAAATGTCATTCATTTCTAATCAGCCACTGTGTTTATGTTTAATGGACAATCTTTAAGCCCAACTCTGTACTTGTGTAAGGTGTTTAGAGGTCCAGTGTGTAGGATTTAGGGGGATGTATTGGCAGAAATGGAATATAATATAATAAGTATGTTTTCTTTAGTGTATAATCACCTGAAAAGAAGAACCGTTTTGTTTTCGTTACCTTAGAATGAGCTGTTTATATCTACATAGGAAGCAGGTCCTCCTCTATGGAGATACCATGTTGCACCACCATGTTTCTACAGTAGCCCAAAATGGACAAACCAAACACTGGCTCTAGATAGGGCCATTCACTTTTTGGCATCGGCCACCGTAGTTCAAAGCCCCTTCACTACAAAAGCATTGGAAAAACTGTGGACTAAAAATAATGTATGTAGCTATTGTAGCTACTGTAAATTCTGCCACTCAACCTATTTATAATTATATCTTGCTTTTATTTTTTACTGCTTACAGCCAATCACAGGGGTGCAATGAGTACTGTTAAACTGTGCAATATCTATACTCCCTCCATCAATAATGTACAGTAAAATCAGCCAGTCTGTCTCTTTATTATATTCTGCTTCTTTTTGATGCTTCCTTATATGTCCCCTTGTGTTTTTATACATTTTGCTCATTATATTGCTCTTTGTTTTTGTACCCTTTACTTATTTTACATACTTAAATATTGCCTACTGATGCTTCCTGTTTGTACTCTCCCTCTGCTGCTGTAATGTTGTAGATTTCCCCGCTGTGGGACGAATAAAGGATTATCTTATCATATCTTATCATACTGTGAAGGCACCCATTGGTTTGGGACTCCTGTTTTGAAGTCTCGAGTTTGGCATTTCAGCCATCACCGTCTTGTTTTTGTGAAGCCAGGATTGACCATGTTTGGACGAGAGGCTGTTTATTTCTGCTGTAAAGTTGGGCATATTATCATGTCTGTGGGGATTCACTGGCTTCTGGAGCCGGCCTCAATTGGCCGTTGAAAGAACTGCAGTTTTTGGCACTTTCTAGTGTCCGTCTTTTTTTAGCCTTGGAAGTTACTGCTTGGGAAAAGCACAGTTTTTTTTAATGTGAAACTATTCATTGTTTCTATCGGTTTAAATTACTGGGTCCATTTGTTTTGGAGAGGAAAAGACCTCTGTAGTAAAAACCTCCTAAACGTTTGGATTTTAACTATCAGAGACAAAAGGTGGGCACGCATTAGCAGGTGCTGGGCTAGCAGCCCGTCTCTGACATGTCACACAGCGTTGGAGGAATACTGATTTGTAATGTGAAACTGCTTTATTCAGAGTTTTTACCGGTTTTGATCACCTGGTCCATTTGTTTTGGAGAAGAACAGACCTCTGCGGATAATTTGGCTTCTGGTAAAAACCTCCTAAAGGAATCCTAACCAGGAGAAGTTTAGACTAGCTGCAATTTGCAATTCTTACCACTAGATGCCACTAAATCTGCCACACTGTTCCTTTAAGTCCTCTCATATATAGATAGTTTGTCAAACCTTGAGCTTCATTCTTTAAAAAAACTGCATTACAGGTTCTGATTATTCTGCTTGTACTGCTGCTAATTTTCTAATTAGCCTCAGGAGTTTTAAACTTTCAGTTTTCATTAAAGCTGCAAACATCTTTGGCATTCAGTGTGGTTAAAGCAGAAGTTGCCAACAAACATCCAGTAACACTAGCTATTGGCCAATTTGCATGTAAATATAATTACAGCCACTTCCCTCATGCTGCCCTGCTCTCCCACCGGAACACTGGAGCTACACCGTGTGCAGTGAATGTTTATGTAGACAAAGAGCACTAATGAGTTGTGCATCTTTGCACACAGCCGGGTCAGTCAAATAACCTTCACAATACTTGTAGTGGCAATTTACTGTTCTCCCAGAGCACAAATGCCTCACTACATCTGGACCACATTACCTTTAGTCTTAGACGGTTTAATTCTCTTTTTCTGAAAAACTAAAACTTGGATCTGAGGTTTTTCTAAGCTTACCTTACCTTACACTCTAAGAATATGCACAGAAAGCAATCCATTTTTCAAGTGGGCTTTGTCTTGGCTTATGCACTGAACTTTTGCACTGTAGGATACAGCTGGAAAAAATGGCTTCCATCTGGTTTTTCTCCAGTATGTGTTTCAACTGAGCTATGAACAACAATATCCCTGCAAAATTCTTGCCATTTTTCAGTCTGTCCAAGACATGTACAGTACGAATCATTCCTCCGAGAGCTTTTCTCTGACACTCATCATTAGAAAGCAGTGAACTCCTTGACTCCATCTGTAACACTGCATTTATCAGCTCCTCATGTGTGTTGCATGCATTTTAATATATGTTGACGGTGTTAGAGGGTTAGTCATTTGAGATAAAAATATCTCAACATATGTTGGTTGGATTACCATGTAATTTTGTACAGATGTTCATGGCCCCCAGATGATCTTTCCTACTGACAACTGATCCCCCGACTTTTCATCTACAGTGTCGTGATGAGGTTGACATTTTTGGCTTTGCGTGGAATGTTTCAACAAGTATTAGATAAATTACTGTGAAATTTTGTGCAGACATTCATGCCCCCCAAAGGACGCGTTGTTCCTTTGGGCTCCAGCAACATGAAGCCCCTGAGCTTGTCTGAAAAGGACTAAATGCACATACCTGCTATTTTTAAATATCCCAGTGAGAGAGACTCTCACTGCAGCCTGTTTTATTTTGTTCGGCATGCAACCCCATTCTGTGGACAGTTAACAAGGTGCAGACTGATAAAGGAGGAAATACAGTGAGTGCTGGATGGAGCAGTGAGTGACCACAAGCCTGCCCCCATTTAAGAGTACTGTTTGCGGTGTTAACGCTAGGGTCTAGGTACCATGTCTGAAGGGTTACTTTTAGTTCCAAAGGTACCTTACCGAAAGCGTTTGGTGGAAACAGGGCCTTAGTCTTGTTAAAATATTTCCGTAAGTAGTAATGTCGTCTTCTGAAAACATCTGTTCAAAAATTAAAAAAGGAAGGGGACTTGATGCATTTTGATTTTAAGGCCTCTTTCTGGTTGCAGTAACATTTTGTTATTCATTGTCACCGGAGGACATAAAGATGTAAAGTAGAATATCTCCTGCCCCACTGTGTCACTGTATTGACACTGCTATGTTATATAAGCAGTGGTCCTAAAGTAGAGCCCTGAGGCACACCACAAGGGATTGATTATCAGGACTAGATAAGAAAAAATTCCTGAAATAACTGAGTGCAGTGCAACTCTGCAGCTAAAGGGATAGACTTTGGGTTTACTACAGAAGTTAATGTTAAATTAAGTTAATGTTGTTGAGAACAAAATGGTTCAAGCTATTTTCCGTCAGAGTGTAACCTCGGCTGTCTAAAGAGTGACTGGAGAGAAAGAAGCATGAGTGTTCCATTCTGATGTTTTGCATGTCTTATCCCGTTTCTACCTGATGTACTTTCCGTGACAGCCACTTTCCAAAGCATGGCATATTTGTCTTTTGTAGATTTTTTTGATGAGTTTGTCTCACAGAATTGTGCTCTAACTTTTAAATTCCAAGCAAGCAGAGACTTGAAATGCACCTGGAATCACTCTGATAACGTAATCCTGCAATCATTTTTTAATATCATACTGTCTGGCTGTATTTATTTTTCCTATAAGTATGAGGTTACAACATGACAGGGCATGTGTTGTGATTAAATCTACACTTTAGCTGCATTATCACATAGCAACAGAGTGATTCAGGCAATATTAGAAGCAGATGCAGTGTTCACTGTGATGGATTTTCCATCTCAACTAAGTTTCAAGTCTCTATAGGTGGAGTTTCCCAACAAATTTAAATTAATACCATTAATAAAAATGGAATATCTACATGATGGGCAGCGGAAATGTAGATTTCACTGACTGAAACTGAAACATAAAACTATTGCTGTGGCCTTTAGAGCCTGCTCTTTATTAGCGAGTCCATAGTTTACTGTGTTTTCAGTTTCCTTATCAAAGTTACTGTAGTAAGTGTGGCTGCTTTTTCCTTTTCATGTTTTCTAAGAGCAAACGTTCCCTTAAATGATACCTCTCACACTCCGACATGCAGCTGCTGTTCTTTTTAACTGCTAGTGTTTAAAGAGCTACCACAACAGTACAAGACCGGATGGTGAAGGTAGTCTGTCCTTCATCATCTGTCTCTGTGCTGTTGTGTTTGTGTAGATGAAAAACCTTTAAATGCAAAGCAGAAGAAAAGAACAAGATTGAGCTCACCTCTCAGTGCAAAGAGTGTCAACAACACAGCCAGCCCCATTATCCTCAAGTAGAGCTGCTGGGATGCCATCTTGAAGCCTTTTAGTCTTTACAGAGCTGCTTTAAAGCAACAACTGTGCATAAAACTGCTGCACGACCAGAGGGAAGAGTGGGCGGCAACCCAGACTTTCCAAGTGGAAACTGGCCTATGGGGGTGGAATGTCATTTACCTCCTTGCCTACAGAAACAAGCCTGCAACTGGGAGATTTTCCGCTCTTAAGTGAATTTTCATGTGTGTCCCAGGTACTTTTCCATCTCCTCTCCAACCTCAGGGGCTGGAAAATGAAGCCAAAGCAGGAGTGCCAGAAACTGCAGTTCCTCTACATGTCCACTTGAGGCTGTGTCCAGCAGTGAGTCAATCCCCACAGACCCCCATGGTAAAATGCCTAACTTTAAAGCAGAAATAAACATGTTTACAGCCTGGTACAAAAAACAGATTTGGTCTCTATAGCTAATTTTCCGCTTCAGGACAACAGTGTGGGGGATGAATTTGTATACAGCTCACTTGTTTACATTTTATTAAGGCCTAAATGTATGCATAATTAGGGTGTGGCTGCTTTGAGTGACAGGTGGGTGCAGTCCGCTGACAAGTCATTACCACAGGGACAATGTTGGGTTATTGTTATTAGATATCATGCATTGTGTAACCCCAGATTTACACAGTATAGGCGTAGCCGAAGTAAAGTGTAAGTAAATTGAAACACTTTGTTCGTCTTAAGTCTTGTTCAGAATTTGGTTGTACTGAAAGGCCCACTCAGGAGTTGGATGCTCAGTTTTCCTGGTAAGTATGTATTGTTTCAATAGTTTTAGGTCCGTTAATTGCTGGTGATAATTATCATTAGCATTATCAGTTTACCATAGCTGTAAATGCACTGTGCTAACCAAGCTAGCAGGTAGCTTAAAGTCCCTGACACACCAAGCCGACCGTCGGCCATCAGTCCATTTCTAGTCTTTGCAGTTTGTCCTGCATCACTGGACCTCATCGGCTCCTGTCAATTTTTTTTTTTTTTTTTTCAGCCAATTCAGCATGTTGAGACAGCAGAGCCTGATGGTGAATTAAATCACTCTGATTGGCCATTCAGTTCAGTGCACAAGAAGAGATACAGAAGTGAGGCAAGTAAACAACTGGCTAGAGTCAAGAGGGAAGGAGATTAAGATAAACTTGTTAAAGAAGATAAGATTATTTCACTTTAGCCACTGAGCTCTTTTGTGGAAATTTTTCAAGATTGCGTGGCTGTTAACTGGTGCACAGCAAATAGCTTTGTTCTTTCAATACTGGTTTGTGTCTTTGGTGTGCTAATATGCTAACTAACTGGTGTCAAGACGGTCTTCCAGTTTCCTTTTTTGAATGACGAATACAGACTAGCACCACCTGGTGTGGCGAGTTAATGCCTCTCACGCAGGTGCAGAACATACATGCTGGTTGGCCGTTGGCTGCAGTCTTTGTGGTGTGTTCATGTGCAACTTTATGGCTGAGACACAGGCAACATGAGGCGACACAGTTGGCTTTCGTCATTACTAGTTCTTTGAGGTTGGTTTGGTATGTCTGGGCCTCTAAGGTTATCTCCACCGTCTTGTCCAAATATGGTCACTTTTTGCTCCAAAAATCCAAGATGGTGACGGCCAACATGCCAAACTCGAGACTCTAAAAGGGAGTCCACAAACCAATGGATGATGTCACAGTGGCTACATCCATTTTTTTATAGTCTATGCCTTTAGCCCAGGGAGATAAAACTGTTATCCACCTCCCCCACTGCCTTAGTTCAACTTAGGTACTGTGCAGTTTATCCTCCCTCGATTTTTTGTTCATCTTTACAGCTCTTCTCAGATAGTTGTGTGTTTGCTACAAAGATGGCGCCCTTTCACTTGAATGAAAATTGCTCTTCGGGCATTAGACATATAATGAACTGGATAGAGTATGAAAAACATGATGAAAATGTACTCTGCAAAATATTGTGGGAGACATCTTTTATCATTTCTGTTTTAAGGTCTGTGTGTCTCCTTTGTAATGACAAATTGTTATAACTTAAAGGTTCAGTGTGTAGGATTTAGGGGGAGTTATTGGCAGAAGTGGAATATAATATAATACGTATCCTTTCTTTAGTGTATATTAGGGATGCACCGAATATTCGGTAACCGAATATATTCGGCCGAATATTGCAAAAAAACACACATTCGGTATTCGGTGGAAAAGCAAGGCTGAATAATAGCGGTGTGTTTTGATAATGCAATCAAACAACATGCCGTGACGGGCGGAGTAGAATGTCGGCAGCGTGGCGATCCGTCCATCACCGCACTCGCATTTGCGACTAAAAATAGTTTTGAGCGAGCAAAATAGGCTTAAATCATTCAGCACTCTGTGCAATCAGCCTACAGATTTCAACCAGCAGCAGAAACGAAAGGCGAATCCAACTGGTTGTGGGTTGAACGGGGGTCACAGACACAGACAATAATGTATTCCTGTCAAATACGGCGGCCGGTGGCTTACCGGCGACGGAGGAGTCGGCTCCAATAATTTCCTCTTCTTGGCGTCGTGACTGCCCAGAAGTACCTGAACAGCTGAGCCGTGACAGCACACAGGTATGTGACATGTCAGAGGAGAAACGGGCCGATCACATTACTCTTTGTGGCAGTAACGGCCCACAAACCTCACCACACTTTAGGGACTGTTCTTTACTTGTCAGGGGAGGAGGGTGGCTGGTTGATTTTTATTTTATTTATTTATTTTATTTTGATCCCCCCTATGTTCATCACTGATTGATGCTGTTTTTGAAGTATGAATAAGTCAATAAGTAATTTATTCCATTGAAATGTCATTGATATATTATAGAAAAGTGATTTATCTTTTTATAAATGACAAAAGGCACATCTGCCTCATTTTTGCCGTGGTATCATGATACTACTCAGAACCATGATATTTTCACTGGTATCGTACAGTGGGATCCAATTTTGGTACCATGACCACATCTAATCTGGAGGGGGTTCATCTGCAAAAATTAATGAAAAACTAAACAACGATATTTGATATTCGTTACTAGGGGTGGGAGAAATTTCCGATTCTTAGATGCATCGCGATTCGGACGTGGACGAATCTGAATCGATTCACAAACGTCCAAATTTCGATTATTTAAATCTGTTAATTAGAATAATACAGAAGGTTCTAAATAATGCGGAACTAAGAAGCGCGGTACGTGTCATCTCTGGGACACTTTGGGATGCGCACCTGGAGCAGACACGCTGACACGCGCACAGAGGAAAACAAACATGGCTGACCGCCACCCACCTCGCCGTGAGAGCTGAACAGCTTCTTCTAATTTAAAAGCAGATGTGTGGAAATACCTCGGCTTCTACAACGCTGACGGCGGAAGCGAACTGGACAAGAGCCACGTTATATGTAAGCTGTGTCGTGCTAAAATAAAATACTTTGGCAACACAACAAACATGAGAAGCCATGTAACTCGATTCCACCTGACGGAGGAGTCAGGGACACGGCAGGCTGTTGTTGCCGCGACAACTAGTAGCGCTACCGACCAGAGAACAATCGAGGAAGCAATTCTAAAGCTGCCACCCTCATCGGAAAAGGTGAAGCGAATTACGAAGGCCATCGCGGCATTTATTGCCAAGGATTTGCGTCCTTATTCTGTCGTGGAAAATCAGGGATTTCGAGCACTGCTGCATACACTGGAGCCCAGATACACCATCCCATCCCGACGCTATTTCACCGACACTCTACCATCAAACCAAAACAGAAGTCATGGCCTCGCTGTTGAAGGCAGGTAGGAACGCAGTTACATGTGATGCGTGGACGTCTGTCGCCACCGAATCATTTGTTACTCTAACTGCACATTTTATCTTGTGATTTAAGATACCTGTTGTTACCTTTGGTTTCCGTACAACGAAGTTGTAACTTTCCAGTTTGCAAGCATTTCCATTTATATGTTTAATAAAATATAATGGAAATGAATTCAACTCTTTCTTATTACAAATGCACTGTTTTTAAAAATTGCAAGTGTTGAATGCTTATTCAGTGAGACAAAAAGAAATGTGTGTTGTGAAAAAGTGCATCAATATACATAAATTAAAGATGCATCAATAATCGTTTTATAATCGAATCGTAGCCCCTGAATCGTAATCGTAATCGAATCGTGAGGTGCCCAAAGATTCCCTCCCCTATTCGGTACTTGGTATTCGGCCAAGCGTTTAATATTATTCGGCTTAGGCTTCGGCCACAAATTTTCATTTCGGTGCATCCCTAGTGTATATCCATCCATCCATCCATCCATCCATCCATCCATTTTCATCTGCTCATCCGGGGCTGGGTCATGAGGGCAGCAGGCTGAGCAAAGTTCTCCATATGTCCCTCTCCCCAGCAACACTGTCCAGCTCCCCCTGGGGGATCTCGAGGCATTCCCAGGCCAGATAAAATATGTAATCCCTCCAGCATGTTCTGGGTCTGACCCCGGGCCTCCTACCAGTGGGACGTGCCTGGAACACCTCTAGTAGGAGATGTGCGGGAGGCATCCTAATCAGATGCTTGAACCACCTCAACTGGCCACCTCACTGCCTGAAAATAAGAATTGTTGTTTCCTTAGAATGAGCCGTTTATATCTGCGTACTGAGTGGATCCTCTTCCACAGAGTCTGACGTGTTCACTGCCATGTTTCTAGCCTAGAATGGACAAACCAAACACTGGCTCTAGACAGGGCCATTCACAGTTTCACGTCGGCTGCCATAGTAAGTTTTGACACAAGCAGCATTTATTCAGTTTTTACCTGTTTAAATTTCCAGGTCCATTTGTTTTGGACAGGAAGAGACCTCTGTGTGTACTCCAGCACATGGTAAAACCTCCTGAACATCTGGATCTAAAGTTATCAGAGAAAAAAGCTGAGTACTGAAGCATGTGCTGGGTGAGTGGTCAGTCTGCGACGAGCTCAACAGTGTTGGAGAAACACTGATTTGTATCATGAAACTGCTTAATTGTGTTTTTTAAAATCAGCTTGTCTGTTTGTTGTAGAGAGGTAGAGACCTCTGTGGATAGTTTAACTCCTGGAAAAACCTCCTGAATAATGAACACTGAAGGAAATCTAAGCAGGAGTTCACACTTGCCATGTGGGAGAAGTTTCATCAGGT